TAAATAAACAATTATCCATCAATTAAATCAAAGATGTAAGTAAAGACCTACCAAGGAAGAAAAGCCCAGGCCCTGATGGATTCACTGCTGAACTCTACAAGAAATTTAGAATAGATCGAACACTACTACTTCTCAAACCCTTTAATGAAATTGAAAGGGAATCAATACTCCCAAATTCATTCCTGGAAGCAAGCATTACCCTGATACCACAAACGGAATAGGACCCAACTAAAAAAGAGAATTATGGGCCAGTCTCCCTAATGAACACAGATGCAGATATCCTCAATAAGATACTGGCAAACAGAATGCAGTAAATCGTCAAGAAGATTATACACCATAACCAAGTGGGATTCATCCCAGGGATGCAGGGGTAGTTCAACATATGTAAATCAATAAATGTAATACACCATATTAACAGAGCCAAGCACAAAAATCATATAAGCATCTCAACAAATGAAGAAAAAGCTTTTGACAAAGTGCAGCACCCATTCATGCTAAAAACCCTACAGAAAATTGGAATAAAAAATTAGAAACCCTACAAAAAATTACCTCAATCTGATCAAAGCCATCTATGACAAACCAACAGCTAACATTATCCTAAATGAACAAAAACTGAAAGCCTTCTCTCTAAAATCAGAACAAGATAAGGTCGTCCACTTCTCCACTCTTATTCAAACTAGTCCTGGAAACTTTAGCCAGAGCAACTAGGCAAGAGAAAGAAATAAAAGGAATAACAATAGGAAAGGAAGAAGTTAAATTATCATTATTTGCAGATAACACGATACACTACATAGAAGAGCCCAAAAACTCCACTAAAAAGCTGCTAGATTTCATAAGCAAATTCAGTAGTATAGCTGGGTACAAAGTCAACACTCAAAAATCAATACCTTCCTCTACACAAATAACAAACTCACTAAGGGAGAAATTAGGGAAACAACACCTTTCACAGTAGCATCCAAAAAAATGAAATACCTAGGAATCAATCTAACAAAGGCTGAAAAAGTACTCTGAAAAAGGCAACTGAAGCAGATATCAGAAAATGGAAAGTTACCCCTTGCTCGTGAGTATGAAGAACCAATATAGTGAAAATGGCCATACTTCCAAAACTGTTAAATAGATTTAATATAGTTCTGATTTGTGATGAGAACATTAAAAGTCTACCTTGTGCTTTTCAAGAATATAATACATTATTGTTACCTACAGATCTCTTGAATTTATTCCTATTAACTGAAATTCAGTATCCTCTGACCAGTATCTTCCCAACCCCCTCCCCAGTAACTGCCATTCTACTTTATACCTCCATGTGTTCGGGTTTCTTGTTTAGATCTTACACATAAGTGAGAACATATAGTATTTATCTTTGTCTCATTTATTTCACTTTAAATTTCTTCTAGATTGTTCATGTTGCTGCCAATGACAGGATCACTTCCTTTTTTTACTTTTTCCCACCACTAGGAATTGAATCTAGGGTGCACATATGTGAGACGAGTGCTCTACCACTGAGCTACATCCCCAGCTCTTTTTATTTTTTTATTTTTTTATTTTTTTATTTTTTTTTTTTTTTGGTTTTTCTCCGGTACCGGGAACCGAACTCACGACCTTGCGCTTGCCAGGCAGGCGCTTTTGCCATTGAGCTAAATCCCCAGCCCCACCAGCTCTTTTTATTGTAATTGTTCTTTGGAACAGGGTCTCAGTTGTCCAAGCTAGCTTCAAACTTGGCATTCTCCTGTGTCAGCCTCCCAGGTAGCTGGGATTTCAGGCAGACACCTATCACCCCCAGAAGCTCCTCCTTCACAAAGGCTGAGCAGGACTCCACTGTGCATTTACACCACACCTTCTCCTGTCGAGCCCGTATCTTGGTGACTGTAAATAATGAAGAACACGGGCCTGCGGGTACCTCCTCCATATACATGCTCCTTCTTTTGGATACACTCCCATAGAGGAATTACTAGGCCATACATTATCTCTATTTGTAATTTTTTTGAGGAAATTCTGTTTTCCATAATGTCTCACCAATTTACATCCCTAACAATGTGCAAAGGCTTCTTTTTCTCCATATTTTCCCCAACACTTGCTGCCTTTCATCTCTGCTAACGGCCATCCTCAGAGTCTGACTGGAGGGCAGAATCCTACCCTGTGCAGGTGGAGCCTCAGAGCCGAATACCTCAGAATACTATTCCCGAGTCCTGAAACCTAACCGATGTTGCCCAGTTGAATTTTACCCTTGCTTGGGTCCGCTGCTTCCTCTTTTCCTTCCATGTCCTCACCTTCTCACTGGGGCAAGGCTATAACACTGTCCTACGCCTGTCCCCACGGGACTGGAAGAGCAGGCAACTTCGTTTCTAGTTCAGATCCAAAGGTGAAAAGAAAAGCTGAGCCAGGACAAGTCTCACTGAAATGTGCTGAAGATTTAGACAACAGACTTCTGAGCTGGTGACATTTAGATGACATTTTGGGCTCTGAGTGGATGCTATCACGTCAGGCTTTGTTGGTCACCATGAGGTACCTTGATTTTATTCCAGGTTTAATGAGGACCAACCAAAGAATTCCAACTAGCAAAGTAAAATGGCCTCATTTACATTGTTTAAAATTACTAATACTCACTGTAGGAGTGTGGGAGTGAGGACACCAGGCAGAAAACTATTACGGTCGTCTGAGCAAAAGAAAATAGGGCTCCAGACTACAATGACATCTGCAGGACAAGCAAAACAGGTGGATTCAGAATATATTTTTACAGATAACATGGACAGAACTTGTGGATCAATTCAGGAGATAAGAAAACAAGGTACGAAGATTCTTCAGTGAGGACTTCACTACTGGGTAGACGGTGCTATCAGCTGAGATGGGGAAGACTGAGGGAAGCAGAGGCTCACTCGAGAAAAGCCGAGACTTACACACTAGACACGTGAGGCTATTACTCCAATGAACACCAGACAGGATATCCGCTAAACAAGCAAGAGCTCAACGACTGCTCAGAGCTGGATTTATAAGTTCCTGGGGCATTTAAAACAACAACACTAGGTAAAATCACCTAGAAGGGATGGATTAGAAACGTGAAGTAACCCGAGACCAAACTCTGGTCTGTTCCACACGTACAGGTGTGACAAAGGAGAGGGGCCAGCAAAGGAGACAGAGAAGAGTCAAACAGGTAAAAAAAGAAATTACACATGATATCATAGATCTCATTTTTTCCGAATTACTGACACTAATTTATTTACTTTACATCAGCCTTATACAATCTACTATAGGAAAGTCTGGCTTAAAATGCAACAGCTTTAGCTCTCAGCCTTAATTGTGGAAATATTCAAATTCTTATGAAACACCCACCAGAATAGGATGCTTGACACAAAGATATATAGAGATTCAGATACTTTTCCATAACATGGGTACAGTGTGAGTACATTTTTTTAAAAAATCAATCACAGAATTAAAGTTATATAGAAAAATGGAAGAAAGCAAGCTAGACTGATACAGAAAAACCTGGGAAAGGCACACTGAGAACTCTCAGATATGAAGTAAGAGTGCAATGGTAAACAGGAAGAGGAGCCGTAGTGAGAAGGTGTATTCAGATCCTCACCCACATTAAATCCCACCTTCTCCACTGCAGCTTTCTGTCCCCCCTGCAGCCACAAAAGACCCTCAGTTTTCTTCAGTTTTCTTCCTCCTCGCTGTCTCTGTGCTTAGCTCAGTTCTCTACACAACCACGGCTTTAACAGCCTTTGGTTCCCATTGATCTGCAGCATATTTGCTGTCCTATCAAATAAGAGTTTAGTAGGACAATGTAATAACTATAAAACTATTTAAGATATTTTAGTAATTCTGGGTTAAAATATCACAGTACAAGACTAAGAATCTTGACATAGAAAAAGCAACATATGAATCTGTTCCTTCTGCCTCCCATACCCCATTTAGCTCAGAAGCACAAATCGAAGAAAGAACTGACTTCAATTTCCTCCTCCATGGTATCAGACAAAAGGTACAGATAAGCTACCTGGTAATAAAGGAAGGAGGTTGTTTTTAAATGAACAGCAATTGCAACACAGAGATAAATCACCGTGACTGTGTCAGCAACAGTCACATAAATTTACCTACAAAGGATTAAAATTTTTTTTTTCAACTCTGAAGAAGCCAAGGTTTTTCTGAGCTGTCAGAGACGTGGAGAAAACAGGCTGACTTTCCCTGCATGCCACTCACACTCATGCATCGCAAACACTGCTCCAAAGCTCTCCAGATGAGATATCAAGGTGGGGAGGTTGCTGGCTAGCCAGACTCAGGAGGGCCAGGTGAGTTTGCAAGAGATACAAGGAAAAGAAAGTACTCTGAGTTTAGAGAGAGACCAGGATGGTAAATCATGAGGACTCCTGCTGACCCCCCGGTCTACCCCTTTCTTTAGGCCGTTCCACAGATTATCACCACTTCTTAGGAGCTCCGGGCACCCAAGGTTCTCTGGATTCTTACACCTGACTCCTTGCCTCCCACCTAATAACTGAATTACCTTTCCTGAAGCCACCTTGGTGAACCACCCAGATGGCAGGTGGCTCCTTCTAAGGAAGCACAGACAGCTGCTGGTGTCATAGGGCGCTGTGGTCTTTGGATATGCTCCCGATCTGAATTTCAACCACCTCCTCACATCTCTCTGATGGGGTACAGTAACAGAACAGAAGTCAATGGGACAGCAGCATGCACTCAGATGCCAGAGTCTGAAAGGGAACAGAAATCAAACCCTCCATTCTTTGCCTCTTCACCATGGCTAAGAACCAATATGCTAGCAACCAGGCTTTATCAGGCCAGCAGAACTAAATGGAAAGTGACAACTCCCAAGAGCCACATGAGAAAAACGGTATGTACTTTAGGCACACTTAACTCTGCAATACATATAACAAATACATAGTTTTTAAACTTTATGCCCTATAAATCCAAATCATCTGCCATCTCACTACAATTTATGATGCGTCACAAAGCATTTAGTATTTAAATATCCACATAGCACCTTGACTTACCTTTTCTAATACAGATGAGCTCATGTACTCCACAAGTTCTCTCTCCACCTGTTAAAGAAAAAAAGTTCACCAGAAGTTAAAATCACAGAAAACAGCCAGAGTTTGACAGTTACAAAGAAACATTTTAAACTAGCACCTATGAATGATCTCAGAAAAAAAAAAAACACCTTGTTCTCTTTAAACTTAACCAAGTGAGTATGATAGCAAGATACTGAAGAATTTTCCTGAACAACCCCAAAAGTAAAGCTTTACAGACTTTGGGGACGAAGAGGTTTCCTGCCAGTGGATTACTGTGAATGACAGACTTCTCGGGGCTAAGAGCACAGCACCACTCCCACCATCTAAAAGGGGACGCTGCAGAAGGACCCGATTCTGTGTCTGAGCCTCAACGAATGCGCTGGTTAGGGCTGGAAAGTCACCCTGTGCGGCACCAGCTACAATGACTCAGTGCATACGTGAAACTCGACCCCTTTACCGCCTTACTAACGTGTGAGAACAAATTTGACCGAAAATTACTTTTATTATCTGCTATCTTCTTTGGAAAGAGCCTTTTTAACGTTTCATTTTTTAAAATATTTATTGGGCACAAATACAGAAAAGCGCACAAACCTATAAAGTCCAACACAACCAGTAGCCACAGAGTGCACCTGAGTCACTGCAAACCTGGGCACAGCCCAGTCCTCCGGGGCGCCTCCGCCCCAGAGGCGACCACCTCCCGAGCGTTAACCGCAGCTTCCCTTTGTCTGTTTGTAAAGTTTAAGGAGCTGCATGTGGTGGCACAGGCCTGTAATCGCAGCCTCCCTTTGTTCAAGGCCAGCCTGCTCACTTTGTAGTGAGCTCAAGGCCAGTCTGAATTTCAGAGAGGGACCCCGTCTCAAAAAAAGACAAAAAAGGAAAGTTTAAATACACAGAATCATTGAGTGGGCATTTCTGAGCCTTGCTTTTTTTTTGGTACCAGGAATCAAACTCAGGACCTTGCACTTGCCAGGCAGGCAGTTGTGCAGCTGAGCTAAATCCCTGGCCCCCTGAGCCTTGGTTTTTTTCAATGTTTACAAGATCAGTCCATTTTCTCAGTTATTGTTGTAATTTATTCTTTTTCATTGCTTTGCAGAATTCCACTGTCCAAATATATATATGCATATACACAAACTATAGATATTCACACATACGTAAACTTCAATTCAGAAACATTTAGACTGTCTTGAATTTGGGTTGTTATAAATAATTGTGCTACAAGCCATTTTATATGCGTCTCTTTCCTGCCCACATGCATGCCACTGGGTTACGCAGTAAATGTATCTTTGGCAAGATAATGGCAAATAACAGGATGGGTAAAGAAAAGGTGGCACGTACACAACAGAATACAATCTGTAAGGAGGACGCTGCATTTCCAATAATAAGAATAAATATGGAAAACATTATGCTGAGTGAAATAAGCCAGGCACAGAAAGACAAACATGCAATCTCACTTATGTGTGGAAACTAAAAAAGTCAACTCACAGACACAGAGCAGGACGGTTGCTATCAGAGCAGGGAGACAGGAATGGGGAGATGTGGCTCAATCAGAAAGAGAAATTAGTGTTTTGTTTTGTTTTGTTTGAGACAGGGTATCACCATGTAGTTTGGGCTGGTTTTAAACTCACTACATAGTACAAGGCAGCCTCAAAATCACAGCAATCCTCCTGTCTCAGCCTCCTAAGTTATGGGATTACAGGAATGCACCACCCCACTGGGCAGGAAATTAGTTTTAGAGATCTATGCACACAATGGTAACTATCGTTCAGAACAATATATTGTACTTTTGAAAACTGCTAAGCAAGATTTTAAATGTTCTCACCACATCACACACACAAACAATAGTAGATGAGGTAACAGATGAGTTAACTGGCTTAATTTAATATTCTACCCACAACGCATACATCTATCACAGCATCACACTGCCAGCACTCTGGGAGGCTGGGGCAGAAGAATCCCAATTTGTAGCCCAGCCTGAGAGACTCAGAGACTCAGCAAGACTGTCCCCAAAATGTGACTTCCTAAAAAGAGGCTAGGACGTAGCTCAATGTGAAGACCCTGGGTTCAATCGCCGGTACTGAAAAATAAAGCACATACATCCCATGAAGATATACTTACTGGTTATACCAATTTATTGCTAAGAGTAATTTTAATAGGGTTTACTATACAAATATGTATTTACTTCACTCAAAAACATGTCACCACTTGATTGTATTTCGTAGTGTTCTGTACATGACCCTATCATTATGCTTTAAACTTTGCATCATACAAAATTAAGTAATTTAATCATTTTAGTTCATCATAGAAGCTTATAAGCAGCTCAGTTATAAGAAACAGAAGTACCTTACAGCAATTACATGAGAGAGAAAAACCATGATATCCAGCAAAAAAAAAAAAAAAAAAAAATAGGTCATCTGGAAAGCAAGCTAAAAAAACTAGAAAACAGTATTGCTTCACTAAAGTAGGTTAGAGCTACAGTCTAATTTGGCTGTAACAATGCCACTGCTTCCTTATCAGCAATACAGACTTATCACTTATTATCAGGAAGTTAAGATTCAGCAAGAAAAAGACACCTAACACAAAGCCACGATTACAGAATTATCACTCGTAAAAACTCGTATAAAACTCTGTATTAACTGGTATATTACCAATGAGCAACCACAGATCACTTGCCAAGGGCTAGAATGAAATACATCTACACACAATCTATCTTCAAAATCAAGGACCCATCAGTCAGATGAGAGGGTATCTACCAATCCACAAGGAGAAACCATGTTCAAGACATTAGAAGAATCAAGTAATGGGACTATGATATAATATATATTGAGGCCTACAACATTTTCATAGGTTCCTTAGATGTATTTCTTCACTGTAGTCATTAAGGCATATTTTCTAAAAATTAACATTTGTAATATTTCTTCTTTTTAGTCATTGAGGTATACTTTCTAAATGTTAATATTTGTAACTTAGTTTGAGTTATGTACTTTATTCATGTAACCAAGTTGAGCTTTACTAGGTTTGTAATTAAAGCTAGACTTTCATGTTGACATGAACCAGTGATTAGGACAACAGACTAGAAAACTAGATTCTTCCATATATTTAATATAAATTGGAAGCTGGTGTTTGTGGTTCACATCTGTAATCCCAGCACGTGGGAGGCTAAGGCAGGAGGATTGCTATGAGTTCAAGGCCAGCCTGGGTTACAAAGTGAGGTCAAGGCCAGTCTGAACTACATAGTGAGAACCTGTCTCAAAAAACAAAAAGAAAGAAAAATGTATACATATATATGTATATATACGTATATATTAGGTTTTACTATATGCATCTAATCTTAAATATAACAGCATAATTTTTATGACTTGGTTTTAATGATAATAAAAAAACCATCAAATGACAATGAATGCTAACTTCCTTTTGTAAGTATTCAATTCATCTCCATTAAGTGAGAAAATCTCATAAATAAGAAGCTAGTCAAATAATTGCTATATCTTAAATCATGAAGTTAATTGCTAACTGTCAAATCTATCAAGGTACTCATAAAAACCAAGTAAGTAACATAAGAGGAGACTAGAACTCAGACGTAAAGTTGTCTGACTCATTATTTTATAGTACAGATAAGCAAACTGAGACATTAAATATGAACAGGGTCCAGGGGCACTAGAAAAAAAATTTAAACATTATGATTAAGATACTTAAGAAGATAAAAATTGATATATCTTTATAACAAAAAAATTATGAACTTGTTTTCTAATCCTTTAAACAATTTAAATAAAATGAATTTTGCAAAAGCTATACTTGTAGATAGTACTAGCCCTGCTCTTGAGATAGCCGTCTCAGCAGCACACAAATGAGAAATAGAAAATGACAAGCTTCATCTAAGTTACCATCTTTTCTCCCCAGGCAAACCCATGTAGGAGTGTGATGGAAACTGGCACAGTCCTCTACAACTGACATAAATACAGAGAGTAAGAAGAAACACCCGTGTGTGGACACACACATGCATGTGCTGTGATTGTGTGCACATGGCTTCTGTATGAATATAAAAATGTACACATAATTGTGAGCGTGCCTGGTCACTGGAATTATTTTAAAGGAAGGTGATCACTATAAAATATGTATTTGTCTCCATGTTTACAGAGAAAAATGTACGGTGATATTCCAATCCTATCAAAATGCACCCAGGTATACAAAGTGGAATCCAGCTCTCCAGGCAAGATGGGGTGCAGGGCATGGGGGTGGCTTTGAGGCAGCCACACCTCTCACTACACCTCATCCACTTGGTGTGGAAGGGAGCATATGTTAAACATATTAACCTTTGCACCTAGAAAAGATCTAGAAAGGGACTGTATATGATCTCTTTGGTGCTATTTCTCCTGAATTTTGGGACTTCTGACTTCCAAGTCTCCTACAGAGCATGAAAGTTAGAATTATGTCTTTTGATGTTACCAAGATGATGCCACTTTCACACAAAGTTATCAGCAGAGAAGCCACAAGTCATATAGGTAAAACTGGTCATACTGCTCATGGGAAATCCACAGGGGTCAAAGCTGATTCTGGTGCTCATAATGTCAAGTTGAAAAATAAAACAGAAAGGAATGTTCCCATCAAGCTTGGACACGCTAACCCCAGGATTCATAACTCTGACAGCTCCAATCACCTCAGTCAGACTCCTGTAGGTCGTGTGGAAGTCGTACACCCATGAGTTTCCTAAGACAGCCCAGGGACCAATGGAAACCTCAGTCTAGTCAGACATGCTCCCTCTGGTAACTCTCCTGCTCTTGGTACTTTGATGGTTTACTGTGCTGACTGGTGCAGCAGTGACGGATGCAGCTCTTCTACCGATAATGGGTAATGAATCCTGTCCTCAGCCTCTGCCTTCTGAACACCTGGCTGCCATAGAAATTATGAAGCCAAAACATATTTTGATTCTGCAAAGTAAAACAATTCTGTAAAAGGAATTCAGGCTACACAGCAGTTTGAATGGGTCCTTGCATTAGTACAAAGTACAGTAGTTGAAGGAGCTTCTGCTATTC